TAATTTACTAATAAACTCTTTAAGTTTGAGTTGAAATCTTTGAGTTGCATGGGAATCGTGTGTATGCATCAGAGCTTAGACTGAAGGGAAGCCGTGCCAGGCTAACGGCCACTCACATCGTTGGCAAATTGAGCTTTCACAGTTAGATTTATTAACCGACTTCTTGTAATTTTATTACATCAATTTAGACTTTCACGATGTTACTACATTTCACTATAAACTTAACAGGCTTTCTGATGATATTAAGCTGAATAAGAAATAGCGCTCTGAATTACGTTTTAAGAGTCATTATTGAATATTAAATAAAATTATTAACTAATGTTGATTATTAAGGGGAGAAAAAAGCAGCCATTATTGAGTCTCTCGGTTATTCTCAGTACAAAGTCCGCCGCCGTAGATTTGCGAAACTATAGCGTAGCTTTCAACATTCTTAAGTGCTTGTAGCAGCCTAAACTAAATAAATATTATTGAATTTTAATCCCAAATAGCTCGATGGTTAGCTCATTCGGACTTTCGCAAGGACCAGTCATAACTTGAGTGACAAAAAAATATTTTCTAGAGTTTCTCCGTGTTTCGAAAGGTAAGTTGACTCATTAGTCCCACTGCTATGTGGTCGTTGATACCAACCTATTTATACTCACTAGGACATATAGATTCCGACCTGTGTACCCAACCGTAGGGACATCATTTTGCTTTATATAGATATAAAATTAGGTTATAGATAATAATGATTTGTAAAGTTAATCTGCGAATTAAATTAAAATGCAAGAACTTTTCGACCAATATTGAAAGAGTTGACAGCATTTTAAATTACTGTGAGATTCTTAATTTTATATAATAAACGAAAAAAGTGTTTTGATTAATTAGATTATTTATTGAATTAGAATAAAGAAGAGTATTCTGAATGATTTATGATTAAAAATACACTTTGACCCTGGCACTCTGAGATGGGACCATCTCAGAATGCCAAGGACAAAGTATATTCAAGCATTTTTCACTAAGAATATTAGTACAGCATTGTGAATGAAAACTAATAATATTAAATGAAGAAAAGTTTTGATAATACCGAAGAAACGGAAAATATTATTACGGCTACTTTTTTAACGTTAGGCAGTGCCCTACCTCAACATCATCATCAGCCTATCAATGTCTATTAATGAGTGCTGGATCTCAGGCATTCCATAAGGATGGAATCAAATCAAATCGAATAGGGAGAATGGGCCATGACCCACCAGGTAGGCCCCGTGTCAATTGGTGGGACTAACGACTGCAAATGCAGCCGCGACTAACGGCTTAACGTGTCTTCCGAAGCACGGAGGAGTTCGAGATAATAAATTTTTGTCACCCGTCCTGTGACCGACCATTGTGAAAGTTGCTTAACAACCGTATCGCAGCTGCGCCATCGAGCTCCTCCGCCCTGTCTCCAGGTTTTTGCCAATACCTAAATGAACCACTGCGCTATCGAGCTCCTCTGCCCTATCTCCAGGTTTATGCTAATACCTAAATGAATACATAAATAAATACATAAATAACCATCGTCTTTAGTTCAATATTGAGTTTATGTTTGGAACGTTATCGCGAAACACAATTGTATCTATTCTTAAGATAACTTTGAATATGAATAGTAACAACGCGGGCCTTCGGCCAGCATTATGGGCAGACTGGCTTGATTACAACATAATGAACTGTACCACAGTAACTTATCTCAGCCCTGCTACCGTTATAAGTTAAGGCCCATCGCACACATTCGATTTTATTAACATCATTAAAAACAAATCATAGTATTTATAAATAAAAATAACGTCTTTTACAATTTTATACAGAAAAAGGATTATGTATTGTAATATTATACGGAAAAAAAGATTTGATTTGTTTCTTTGTATAAATTCTTTCACAAACAATCTACATCATACGCGGATGACATAGACTTATTATAATAAATAAAGCGTACAATGTTAAATATTTTAAAATTAAATCTTTATATCGAATCATCGGCGTGCAAGTTCAACTCGCTCTTGGACGATTGCAATTCTCATCATCATAGTCCTTTTTTTTAACGTAGAGGAAATGCTTTTGACTCTGTCAAGCAACACGAGGTGTGTAGGACTCTTCTTCGTAAACCCACGCGGCATGTGAGCTGCCCAGTGAGTCCCGCAGGTCAACCCACCAAAACCCCTACAGTGCTACCTCACGTGGAAGGTTTTTATTTTATTTAATGAACTCGAGACAACAACAGCCATTTCGACATAAAAACAAAATACATTATTACAGTTATAATAAATTCAACCAAAAAATGGCCACGATAAAAAATAACAGTAAGCCTAAGACATAACAAGACTTACATAACCCAACTAATTATAGATGTTATACATATATGCACAGATGTAGATACAAATACAATATAAATCGATATTGAATTCTATTATTATAATATTATTTGCTATTTATTATAATGATGAGATGACACCCGGGAGGCCGTGGCCGAGACACCAGAATATTCAAAATATATTGAACCATTGGTTCCCTTTCGGATGGAGAGTCTCGGAGGAGAGTCGATAGCCTCTCCCAGACAGGTGAAACCGTGCAATGCATGGATAGCTGCCAACCACCATCATCGACCTATCCAATGTCTCCACTACAATGAGGATAGTAGGTTTTAACGACTGATAATGCAGCTTTATCCAATTGACGTACGATGCACAACTTTGGTCACCCATCCCATGACCGGTATTTGCGAAAATTGCTTAATCTCCGCATCACAGAATGAAGGCGCTTACCACTGCGCCATCTTCTCGGTTTTTATTATATCTTTGTAAAAACGTGACACGTACCTATTTAGTAGATTGAAAGTAGCTAAAAAATTCAGAGCTTATTTAAAAATAACACCACGTAGAGTCCTTTCTTACTCGGACGATGAACTTTTGAGAGCAATTTAGGTTTACTCAATTCAATTACTTTTTCGTGATGTGTTTACAATGAAGTTTAATAGAAGCCGAAAAAAGGTCAACAAACAAGTTCATTCGATAAATAATACAATTTTTATTTAGTTTTTCTTTTTAGTGCTCAAAACATGCTGTATTAAATCAATACGTCATATGGAAATGTGGCGTTAAAAGCCTTAAAAACTCAAGTATACCAACGAAATGGAAAGGCAAGAAGAAGAAATATATTAAGACCATGCCTTGTGGCACTCGGTTCTCTCTTCAAGGAGTCTAGTATAAAGATAAAATATAAACAATATAGGGAACTCTATGCATATTTTCAAATTTCTGGTTCCAGTAATTTAACCCAAAGTTGGTATTTCAATCTAATTTTATTGTTATATTTACAGATAAATATGGTTTTAATAATGTATTATTTGAAATATTAATTTAACTAAACGTTGATGTATAGTAATTTCTAGTTTAGGAACCAGTCCTGTTCAGTAAATGAAAGTCCGACAATTATCGAATCAGACTCGCGCACCACGGGTCCAATATATATATAAAAATTCGAAATCCTTACATTTTTATAGGAAAGATTCTCAAAAGAAATGAGTTTAATAAAAGATAAAAAAAAGCCACATCCTCATCGACAAAAATGTAAATTAATTAGAAAATTTAGTGATAAGAAACTTTATTAAAAATTTTCTTAGATACTAGATTTAGAACATCCTATTTATTATCTTAGACCAAAAATCTTGAAATAGAGAAATCAAACGCGGCCAAATACGACAAGAGTTATTTAATTACAAACCCTGGATGAATTTTTGAAATAAGGTACTTGCGAACACAAATCAAAGAAAGTCAGTCTCAGTCCAGGGATGCTTGTTTACACATGTCCTGTTGTAACTTCCGCCTCCATCATCTAATCAGCTACAAATGAGATTAATATTCCATAGTCATCCAAGATATTTGCATCTAAAATTTAAAAAAGCCAAATCAATAACCGGGATAAAAATTTAAATTGCACGACTTGCCTTCGCGTAAAGTGAAACTTTTACTTAATTAACTTTTGATATTAATCTTGAATAATTGCTACTATTAAATGATAAAACAATAAATGGTTTTTGGTTTGATAAAATTAATATATTTTGCAACTTTAATGAGAAATAATAAATAAGCATATTTTGCTTTGAAAACAAATTTTACATCATGAAAATTACCTTTTTTTTTAATAGGAATCCGGCGAAGTAACCAAAAATGTTTTGTGATCGATGTGATTTGTTTTTCCACATTTAAATCCTTACAAAATGAGACAAGTTACATGAAGACACAGCGTGATACGATGTAAAACCAAATACCATACTGCAATGGGCAGTCTCCTTTCAATATGTGCTGTAGTTTTGGAGCAAAGCAGCTGTAACAGACATTATGGACAAACAGACGCACAAGTGATCCTATGGGGTATCAGTTTTCATTTTGTATCGTGGACCCCTAAAAACTGTACATAAATATCGAATAATAAAATATCGAGTTTACAAAAGCCCTAAATACGACAGTTTATCGCGAATAAACCACTAACGGATTCCCGTCTAGTGGGCAGAGTCTTCATAAATACTACGAGTAAACTTAATTTATCCTGGAAAGCTATATAGGCAACCTTAAATCCTTCGCAATAAGGCTTAACATAAAAAGGACGTACAATTAAGCCGGCAACTTAGTACTTGCACGAAGCTTCTTACGCTTTTTACTAGCTTCTCATAAGGTCCAATTTTAATGAGTATCGTTTTAATCAGTGTATATTATAAAATTGCATCGTGAACGCTTTTCTATTTGTATGCGTATTTCATTATCCGTGTAATAATTATGTCATATGAGATATATTATTGGTGACTTTAATAAATTACTGGTGAATCAGATAAAAAACCTAAGACGAGCTCCATCCTGGTTTCACACGAGTTTACATCGTAAAAAAAGAGCTTCTATCTTAATATTCCACGACAGCGGCTATACTGCGGAAACAAAGAGAATTTAAACACTACGTTTTTGCGTTACTAAACCCTGATTAATATGTCAAAATTAAGCCCTTACAAAGAAGGGTCTGTTTTGTATAAATAGGCTCCGAAACTACAGAACTGATTTTAAAAATTCTAACACCTAAAGCTATATCCTACGCGGGTGACATAGGTTATAATATACGTGGGCAAAATCACGGCAAAACAGCTACTTTTTATATAGATTAATACCTTATTTATAATTGAAATTCATGTAAAATGTGCAAGAGCACAGTTAAAGTTGTAAATACTGTCGGTTATAAACTTTAGTTAAACCGCAGTCAAGCAACCAACTGACAGAGAGATATGAGCAAACATAGACAATTATTTGTATCTGTTCAATCTATAATAGGCTATATTTTATCCCGAAAAATAGCAAATAAAGGAATAAAAATGGGAATGAAATTTTGTATAGGGGCTTAAAACGTTACCATAGTAACCATTATTTACTATTCAATTTATCATTGTAATTATAAACAGTTCCCTAGGGACTACGCGATTAAAGCCTCTGGCGGTAAGTTAGTAGTTTTATAATGACCAGCGGCTTCGCCCGCGTGGTCTCTAGGGAAATGTTAAGTGGGATTAAAAGTATCCTATTATCTAAGTCAGCTAATACCCTATCTGTATACCAAATTTCATCAAAATCCGTTCAGTAGTTTCGGCGTGATTTAACTTTTTTAATTTGGGATGACTGAGAGTGTTATAAACGTAAGAGTAGACAATAGACAAATACAATCAGAAAGCTTCGAACTGCTAAGCTATCGGGAGTTACACTTGTTATTGTGAGTCAACCATAAAAGATAGACATATGCTGTCGTGGGATATTTTTTGTATAATTTTAAGGAGAACATGTCCGTCATACATGATTTCTGGGTAGCTTTAACCATTAAGTTTGCACACGCGACGGAAGCTTAAAAAATGGAGTAACTTCTCCCGTTTTCCCAACATTTCCCTTCACTGCTCTGCTCCTGTTGATTGTAGCGTGATGAAAAGTATACTTTAACCAGCTCAGGAGTATGAAAAATAAATGTACCAAGTTTCGTTAAAATCCATCGAGTAGTTTTTGTTTCTAAAACGGTTATACAGACAGACAGACATAAAATTTACTGATTGCATTTTTGGCATCAGTATCGAACCCTAATTACCCCCTGATAGTTATTTTGGAAATATATTTCATGTACAGAATTGACCTCTCTACAGATTTATTATAATAATCATTTTTATTTATTCTCCTCACAAAAACTTACATTGCATTGGGTAAATACATAAATATTATTAATATTAATGCTGTGAGGAGCTGGTGTTTGAAATGGGATTAACCTGTATTGCAAATCACCAGGACCCCACCCCTCGGCATGTTACAGAATTTCGTTTTATAGGTACTCATCATACAATGCTGTAATATAAAAATAAAAAAGAAGAGAAATATTAATAAGATAACATATAGATTAATAAGATATAGAAGAAGATTAAAAATTTATTTGTTCATACAAGCATTGAACACTAGCACTAGACTTTATTAAATTTGCGTTTAAATTAAAGCCTATATCACACGCAAACAATCAATATTTCCTCAATATAACATTAGTAAAGACAAATAACTGAATAGGTAACAAATTCGTTTCCACATCAGCTATACAACTGTGCTTAATAGTGCCGAGTTATTAGAGATCAGATAAACACTATAAAACTAGTTTAATTAAAAAGTCAGGATTGTTAAACTATTAAACGGCTTATTAATATTGCATCTTCAATCGACTCACATCCGACTAACAATTTCTATTCCTCAGTCGATGCAATTCGTTCTCCCAAATTGGCCATAAAATTTCTATAATTTGATCATTACATTCTAAACGGAAAGTCGATAGAACAATAATAGGAATCCTACAAACCGCATTTCGCTTATTTTTACTGACCTGCATCATATGGCCTTGATACTGCATCATTATTTTAACATCCATCAACTGCTACAGTTCCCTGCTGTGATTGATGTCTGTAAATATGATCAAAAAATGGACGTGCATTCGCTCGACGCCACCTCAGAAGCCACAAAAATGAGCTTTAATTCCACGACACAAGATACTACATCCCCAACACTTCGAGCCGTCGCAAGACAAAGAACATGCACACCTTTATAATTACGCGATGCCACCGACTGAACTTGACCCATACATTTTTCATCGAGACACTCCAAAGTCAAATCGATCAACCACGGACAGTATTCTCGCCAGGGGTTCTTCTCAAATTGGTTTGATAATAACGTGATGAGTCAGTCATAATTAAGATGGAGCGCTTTCCAAACGAAAGGTGGCTGGTGTCGAGACATCGCCATTATACCGCGCCCGGTGAACCACGAGGCAATTATGATCTTTTTGCTGAAGAACCGTTAGGTTAACTTAGATGCGGGGTAAATACTCACCGGGCGCAGTGTGGACGCTGACGCCGCGCCGTGCGCACGCGACCATTGATAGCATCATGTCGCCGCGAACCCTCGTCATGTTGGTCGCTATAGCATGCGTGGGGCAGGTCGCGGCCAGACCTGTACGGAGAACCCTCAACTTCAATATGTTCGTGTTGCGTCCTAAACAGGATGCTTTAGATCGTGTATTGCTTACAACCGATGGAGTATCCCGCTTCGGACCTATCCTGGAGTACTTGGTGCAGCGGGTGCAAGGAATGATGTCTGTGAAACGACCACTCGAGGAGAGCATACACGCGGATGTACCTATAGTCCCAGTAGCTGATGCAGCTGATAATGAAATTGACGGCAGCCAAAAACCAAAGTCTCCAGGTGTAGTCGTACGCCCTTCCAGAACGAAGCCGGGCACTTACGAGGTGGAAATCGATGTCGTCGTAGATGATGGGCAACCTGATGATGGACACCCCAGCAACAATTGACGTGATCCTCGCTAACTGTTAAACCGAATCGTCTAGTGATATTGTTAAAACAATGATATTTTTATTTAATGTTAGCGTAGCGTAAATGAGCCTATTTATTGATTAATCTCTATTTATTCTTGCCATATTATTAAGTGAAATAAATTGTATTTTTTGTTTTCCTTTGGTCTGTTATTTTTATTAAGCTATATCTAGAAATAGCTATCAAATAGTTGATTGTACAAGAAAAAGAAATGTAGTGTTTTTTTATATCTAAGTATTTAAATAATATTTAAAATGAATTTCTTCGAGCCGCTCGGCCACGGGTTTCTACTTACAAGTTTTATTTTACAAGGAATAATTAAAATAGAAACGAATACCTATAAAATATTCCTAAACATAAATAAAAAATAGTAACCTTAAATTTCGTGGCTGAATTTCAAGGTGCCATCTCTGGGGTTCGATCAACTAAATGTACTTTTTTTATAGTCTCGGATCTGGGTGTTGTAGTAATTTCATTGTTTCAGATTTCCATAACAGAAGTGCTTTAACTACTTAATTTGGGTTCTATGCAATGTATGTGATCTTGTCTAAGATTTTCCTGTTCACGTTTATTATAAAATATTTTAATGTGTGGTCAAAGTCATAATAGTTTAAATATGGTTTTAGTACTTCAGAGAATGAAAATTTAAAAGAAATCAAAAATTTTAAAAAGCAATATGGTAGCTTGATAAAGAATTTGGCATAAAACCTGGCATTTGTGTTTTTATAAATATTCACCATAAATAAATATTCACCATAATTAGAAACTCGGCCAAGTGCGAGTTAGTCTCGCGCATATGTGTTGTAAAACATTGCTTCTTGCCTTTCATGATTCTAGGGCAAAGGGCAGTACCCTATTCCTATAAGTTTTGATTAACTTGTAATAAAATAAACGTAACTTTATTTGATATCTTTTGATCTCGTTGACTTACAACTATAATTGTTTCACAGCATAAAGAGATTGTAGACTCGAGTATTTGACATAAATATCGACCTCTACGTGTTCTTGAGAAAAAAAAATTGACAGACGGACAGACGAAAAATGAAGTGGTCCTAAGGATTCCAATGTTTTTCTTTTGAGGTATGGAACCCTAACAAAGTTAAATTTTGTCAGCTTCTAGCAAAAAATCACAAATTCTAACAAACCACCCACCAGTGACGAAGTAAAAAAAATTGCTTCCACATAAAACTATCTTGCACATATTTTCATCGTCGGATATTTATGAAGATTTCATAAAAACATTTGATCTAACTAAGTAATATACTTATTCAATTCATTAAGGATGTGTGTAAACTAAAAGAAGTTTGAAATTAATTGTTTAAATTATCTAAAAAATTCACGCTTCAAAAATCGAGGTTAAATCTTGCAACAAAAAAAAAATAGGGATTATAGGATATTAACTAAATATTCATTACATAAAATCAAACTTTACTTATTGGTTCTCAAAAACGAGCCACTTAAAGATATACTATTTTATTTATGTGAAGATATATCAGATCTTAACCTATTCGATTTATCTAAGGGCAGTTTCCTGTGGAACTACGAGGCGTTATTAATTAACTTATTTCTACTACGCTTTCGTACCTAACAGTACATTTTTCATTATAAAATACTGTTAACATAGTAAATTATGAAAATATATAGTATAATTTGCCATGAATAATTTGTAAGTTTTAAGTCTTTTTTTTTCAAAAAAAAAGTTGAATCAATAATAAAACATTCACCTCGCAAAACCTTCCAAAACTGCTGAAAGTTTTGGAAGTTTTAGGGAATGTATCCCCAGAGAAAGAAAGTTTCGCGGCAATTTTCATATCTAGTTGCTTCCAATGCGTCTTATTCTTGGTACCATGTGGTATCATTCTGCTGCTCAATCATAAAAATGCCGTATAATAATATAAAATAATCCTATTTGTATCCTCGTAAACTAAAGAGTGGCTGCGGAGTTGCAGCGTCTTCGCGCGTTGTGCGTCAGTTTTGAAAGCTGTATGCGTCAATTATTCTAAAAAAAAATATAACCAGAGCAAGTAACATTTTGAATGACAATTCTTTATAAATCCACATTGTATCCCAGTGTTTTTACTTACAAATATTATAAACTAACAAGTTATAACCGTATCTTTGGATTCTATCAGTTCTACTTTTAAACAAGGTTTAACGTTGGTGTAAATTAACGCTGGGCCTGCTTCTCGTATTCGTCAAAATTCATATTATTAAACAGAGACTTAACAAAGGTTAACCTAGTACGAGGTTCTACGAAAGTAATCTTTGCTCCTAAAAGGTAGTAGATATGCTTATTCTCTGTGAAATATGAATTCTGTAAAAAATACAGTTTTAGCGGAAATTTACTCTGACGCTAAACCTTGTTTATAAGTATAACTGATAGAACTGTCTATGTTTAATAGACAAAAAGTTTGATATAAGCAATAAGAGACTCCCTCTAACAAAACCGTATGACAGCTAAATAGCGTCCTTATCCAATTAGGTATGTATCATGCGATGCGACGTCGTATCGCTTCTCTTTTATAAGCTCAGTGGGTGAAACTTTATTTGTTATGACAATCTTACAAAGTTAATTTTGTTACCAGCTCTAAGGTAATAAAGGAAGTGATAACTTTTGGCATAAACTATACATAACTTTTACACTAAATATTATTATTGCTATTGATTTCCGTATTACATGAAATTAACATAGTAAATAGTTATTTGTAATAAACAATGTGTTATATACATGTACTGGTATACTTAATCAAAAATGCTTTACATTTGTAAAACACCACCAGGCCTAGTTACCCCGATATGGGACTCAAACCCATGATCCTTCGCAATCCAGGCGACTGCTCTACCCACTGAGCTATCCGACAGAACTGATGAATTTTTCAAGCACTTGCTACTTTTTTCTACTAGTAAGCATATTTTCATCAATGTTCCGGCAATCCACCCAAACATATATGTCGCATCATCTTTACGAAGATCGTTTGATTTAGTTTTTTTATTTTAATTGCTAGTTACTCGATTACTTAATTACTCGATTGTAGAGAGAGCGTGATCATAGATACTTTTAATTTTATTAGAATGGTGACACTGACTTTGACAGTTTAGTCAAATTGCCGCCATTTTAGCACACATTCTGTTTCCGATCGCCGAGGAGTAAAGACATCCGATGACATCACGCTAATCTTGTTATATTTTCGTTTGAAAAGTGATAAAATGAAATAAATCCACGTTGGTATACACGCCTGCAATGTTATTTTAAAGATAGTCCCCTGATATGGACAATCTATTTGGGCTTCGTAATAGGCCCTTCTGACTACCCGCCGTTATATATGTAAAATAAATATGCACATATCAAATTTAATACAAATTATTAGAGCTTATAAATTGTCTTTATTGTAAAATGAAGTTTTCTATATTGTCTTGGTTATTACGATTGTGGTATTGGTTGTTTCAATTTTTTTTATGCATTCTATATATAATATACTATTATGTTACAACCTTTTTAATTGTAATGATAAGGCCACATAGATTTATTTTACAATCTAGTTTATAAAAAACTTGCATTATTCTAATTAAAACTCAATTTGGTTGTGAACTGTATGGTGTCCTAAATAAATAAATAAAATAAATAACGCTATAGCTTATTAATTAGGGGTCTGAGCAAATTATGTGATGCTATCTTAAAATCTTCGAGTCACAGTTTTAGTTGACATAGTCCTGTGAAACGGCTTGACGGTCTGAGAAAAGATTGTTAACTATTTGTTATATTCCAAAGCGATAAGGGTGGTTCACCTCAAATTTAAATGGCAATATAATCTTTGGGGGTCAACTAGTTCATTTATATTAAAACCGTAATGTCAGTCTTCGCAGCCGATTAGTACCAAATCTTATATCCTCCTATAAAATATTATCTAAACTAAAACTTATTAAAACAATAACCATTTCCTCAATCAATATTTGCGTCCTAGACTGGATTACAAGTTTAATGTTTCTAGATCATCATGGATAATTAAAGAAATTTAAGAAAATTACTCAATTATACATATCATTAACTACAGGAACTGTGTAGTTTACGTCGTTAAGCGAAATATATTACAGTTACATGCATAAGGTGTTCTGTATTTGAGGATAAAATTGAGAAATAAATATTCAAAAATATAACAGTACACTTTACATCGAGCTGCAGTGGCTAGCATGCTCAGCCTGCAAAATTGTTATTGAGCAACTTTCGCAATGGTCAAATGGTATCGAAAGGTTTTAACGTTTAATTAAAACCTTTAATGTTTAAGCGTCCGACTTCGATAGAAGTTCCTTTAATTATTTTTACATGAGCGAAAATAATTCTAAGAGTTTTTGAAGTCGCTTTTAATGATAATATAAATATTATTATATACTTCTTTTAGTTCTGTTAAAGTGGAAAAGCCGTAGTAGGTCATATCGTTAAAATTAATGAAACTGATTTTGATGAAACTTATGCTGTTCCCTTAGTTGAAAGAGAATTAATCAAACGAAAAACGACCATTGCTATTAAATCGCTAATTTGCGAGAAATAAATACACGAAGAAACATACAGTCACATACTTGCGAAATGTGGCATAAGTATTTAGAAGCTCACATAGACTGATATATTATAAGTGCATATTTCGTGCAACTTCATGACTGTTACATACATACGGGTCAAACGGAATCCTTTTTTTTTAAGTGAATTAAAAAAACTCCTTTCCACATTATATATATGACACATATTCTAAATGATATTGGAGTACCTGATTATATTTTATACAATGATCCGGTGAGAAATGTCACTTGAAATATTAGAATACATATTTACAGCCCATCTTTAGCAACAAGTCTCTCGAAATAGTAAACAATACAAAAAAATGCAATTAAATCAATTCAGATAACTCACAACAAAAATATAACAATAAAATTGCAACTAATAAACAACTACTTGGAAACATTATTATTAAAACCTTTCACTGTGACAAGTCAAGATTTAAAACAAGAGCAATAGTTTCTTGCGTTTGCCATTTATTTGCATAAACAACCTGTTAACGTTGACATGAAAACGAAAGAACAGTGAAAATAGGGACAATAACCAACAACACCATAATTGGCCTTAGTGACACTGCGGATCAATGTCAACTCTCCAGTCAGTGGGCCAATGTACTACCGACCGTGAATAATAAAATCATTACACGCACAACAGTACCCTGGCCAGAAATCGACACTCGCTCATACTGTACACATCCTGTGAAGCAGACGGAATAAACATAGCACTTAACAATATTAAAGTAGCTAATAGTAATATCTTTTGAGGTAGCTAAAACCCTGTCAAAGAATTTAAAGCAGATAATTCTACAATACAAAATTAAGTGCCTGTGAAAAAGAAAAAAAATATTACTTTAGTGAAAAGACAAAGAAAAATAAATCGTGTTAAGATCCAATAATGAAGTATATTTATACGATAGTGTTGTGTTTACAAGGGCTGTTAGTAGATGCTGCGCCATTGCAGCTTCAGTGGCAAAGTCAAATGTCCATGCAACCGATACCAGAGGAGATCATTCAAGAACAATTGCTAGCATTACAGCAAATGCAGTGGATGAACCAGTGGAATAACAACGTATATCCCTCTCAAATGCAGTAAGTATTAGAACATCTTCCCTCTTATTAAACAAGGACTAAAGTTTGTTTAATCCATTGGCTGCCTAAAGCCAATTGAAAACGTCAAATTGACATGTGTTAACTAAATTTAGTCGAATAATGGTAATAAGACAGCCGATGTTTTAAAATTTTATGAAACATTTGAACTAATATTACCAAGGTACCAAAATGTATAATAATTTTAAACATTTCATAAATATTTTTAAACTCAATTTTAAGCTTTTAATTGTTTTCAGGAAATCTGACGTGCCGTATATTATTATCATGCCAATCGAACAATCGAATCTTATATCTCAAGAGAACAGCTTATTAAAAAATGCAGTTGAAAATAAAGCCAAAGATGTCGAAGTAAAGGAAGGTGTTACAGAAAATAAAGATTTGGATGCCGTTATTGTAGATGCAGCCGAATCTAAACCACAGTCTATGCCAAAAAAAGCTATACTGCTAATTCCGAACAGAGGAAGACTTTCTATAGGAGGATTGATCTCAGCAATCCCATTTTTACCTATAGAAATCAATGTTCCTGATGCAATTTCTTGGATATTTAATGGAATCTCTAATATCGTATCTGGTATTGGACAAGCGTTCCCATTCAATCGACCTACTCAAACGCAAGTGTCTCCAGAGAACATGAGACTTCTGTTAAAAAGTTTACAGATACAAAATCAAAATAAACTTACACCAATTCTAATGTTACCGGAGGTCGCTCAAACATTTCCCATGTTAGTATAGTTATTAAAGATTTTATTTTATGTTTATGAGATAAACTTTTTATTTCTCTCCTTCCAAACTTTTTCAAAAGTTGCTTTAGAAAAAGAAAACCACTACTACGATAAAATTATTTATTTAAGTAAATAGTACAATATTAGTTTAACACAATAATTTTGTACTAATTTAACTTATATGATCGAAATTAACTTACAACAGATCTTGAATAGAAACCTGTCAATTTTTGACCGGGTTCAAGAGTTTAACCATAGACTGATCAATGTAACAACTATCAGTTACACTTTCAAACGCCGATCATGTTATATTATATCACAAAACAATATCTTAATGTAAAGGTAATTTCTGAAATATTTCATTGCCGTGGCATATGGCAATTGTTTTTATTCATTGAATTTCTAGTACTCAAACAGTAATATCGATAATTGTTGTATAATTATTCATATCAGATACCAATTTATATTTTAATGAGCCATTAAAAAACAGCGCCTACATACAAATGAACTTAGCTTACACTGTCGACTAGCCATAGGCAATCACATACAACTAATATCCTGTACCATATTCGATTTCTTAACACTAAATAATAATTTAGTGAAGAGAAATCTAATAAGGATTTCTTGGAATTTAGACATAATACACATTCGTTCGAATCAATATCAGAAGACACTGTGAAATTTCTAAAATGAATACCAAATATAATAAAATTAATGGCACTACAAAGGAATCATATTAAGCCTAAGTTCTGTAGCAATGTTTTGTCGTATATTCAACCGCGTGAGTTAACGGAGACAGTATCGCTATCGACAGGAAAACCGGGGTGGACATTGCCAGACTGCTGTTCACTCTTGGGCACGATAATAGAGACGGGATAGTTGAAACTGTAGAAGAAACCGCGTGGAGGACCCTGAAGAAGAACAAACATACATCATTAGTTCCTATTGCTATGAGATATAAATCGGTTCAAATGTAACACATACTTACTAACAATGCATTGAGATGAAAAAAAAAATATTTTAGTGATAAATTCATTATCTGGACTATTGAGGTCTTCATTTGCTTATCATAACACTGATCAATAATAACTTATTTTTTTATCATCGATTCGGGATTATTAAAATAAATATCAAAGTAATATAATGTAAAAAACATCATCATCCATCACTAAGATGTCATATCCTAGTCATGGTTAGAGCGTTAGAATGTCGCACTCCAGGTGTTAGTGTATGAGTAAATACGATATTTGTTAGCTAACAATCAGTCGCCATGGGTTCTATGTCTATATCTTCTGGTGCCTACTTTAATTGTCTATGCAAAATATTTATGTAATCAACTTACAGTGGGTTCAGGTTGTTCTGTGGTTCCCGGATATTTTTGTCCTTGATTCTGTTGCTGCTGATACAGCTGTGGCTGCTGATATTGCTGTTGGTAATTGCCCTGAAAACTGCTCTGTGCTTGTGCAACGTATGCTTTGCCTTCACGGGCTACCGAGGCTTCCAGACCTGGAGCACTGGCTGAGACCGCCTGCACTTCTGATGCTTGAGGCTGGTACTCATGATAGCTAGCAGAGTAATCTTGCCTAAAAAATTATAAAAAGGTAAGAAGAAAACCTAGAAATTTCATAGATAATTGAATGATAAAGGGTAAAACTATTATATTTCTTTAATGTCTTCTGCAACTAAGAGGCTTAAGTGCTCATCTGCACATTTGAAAATTAACAACCACTAAAGTGTCGACAACCTGAAATGTCTTTTGAAGCTATCGAAATAACGTTGAAACAGAAATAGATTCTGAAACTTACTGAGCATTAGGGTGAAGACTTGCTTCAGCAGCTTCTTTCCATGCTTTCTCATGTGCAAGGCGCGCCTGTCTCACTTCCTCGGTCTCTTGGGCCGGCTGTAGTTGAACTTTCGGGAGGTTATCTTCTTGGTGGAAGCCCTCACTGTCCGCCCAATAGCGTACCTGTAATCGTTAATTTCAACAATTATTCTACTGTATAAACTTCTTGGCTGCAACTCAAAGCTAAGAATGTACCAAAGGCAAGGAAAAATTATCTGCTTGATGACTCTCATTCTTTGCTATTTCTTAAAGTAAATTTTATTATTCTTTAGATATTTACATATTATATCTTGATTTTTATGATGTCTTGGACTGTAGAAGAATCTTATGAAGGATATTTAGCTGAACTTTAAAATGAACGAATGCAAAATCCTAACTAAAGCAAATAGCAAACCTTGATTAGGTCGTTGTTTCCGGACTTGTAGGTGTAGGAGCCGGTTACATCACCGGATCGCACACGATTCTCTACTTTGGCAGACTCAGGAGCCTTGTATCCATATGTGTAAGCACCGAGACCATCCTGACCATGGAATTGAGAGGCGTCGTATACCTAGAAATTTTTTTTTAGTATAAAACATTTCGAAACTTGACATTATTAGTATTTATATTCTAAAGTTGTTAAATACTAAACAATGCCTTAAATTAGAGAGCTCAAAATAGCTCCAAACATCTTCACAAACTTATTTACCTTATTTATACGATGGTGAAATTAAGATCCTGCAATATTTTAAAGTAGGTCGGTGGCGTAGTGGATAAGCGCCGCGGCCCGCGATCGTTGTCGTTAAGCAACTTTCGCAAGGGTCGGTCACGGGATGGGTGACCAAAAAAATATTATCTCGAGCTACTCCGTGCTTCGGAAGGCACGTTAATCCGTTGGTCCCGGCTGCATTTGCAGTCGTTAATACCTTCCAATCCGCATTGGGCCAGCGTGGAGGGTCATGGCCCATCCTCCTTAACCATCCATAAGGAAGGCCTGAGCTCCTGCAGTAGGGACGTAAAAGGGCTGATGATGAATAATTTAAAAATGAAGGATATTGTTTGTGAAATTTATACCTCTTCTACGTAATCGTCTGTATTTTCTATTTCGTGACCGTTTTTCCAGTAGTGACCAAGAGTGGGGCCAGCCTCGGCTGTTCGAAATCTAGGGTCATTCCATCTCACCTGAAAAATAAAACATTAGCTTTTAAACTCGTCGGAGACAGATGGTCATTTGTCATCTATTTATGATAATAGTAACCTGATTGATACTTTTTAAGTATTATATTCTGTATTATCACTATCCGTTTGTCTGAAAAAAGTCTGAATTTTCTGCTGATTTTATACACCGTTCAGCACCAGGGATAACCGCTATAGTTTGAAAAATAAATCAATTTAATAAATTACTGATTTATCAATTAAATGGGCTTATAAACAACCGCAGTATTACCTAAATTAAATTTGTTACGAGCGTGCAGAAAAGTAGTTCTGGGATTTCAATGTACCTAGTATATTATTTGCGATACCACGTTGGGCATGAATCAAGGACAATATATTTTAAAACATTTAAGAACTCCTTAAAAAGATCCTTAATTTTTATACAACTCCTTATAAGAGTGGAAAGTAATAGAAAACTCTATCGACCACTTTTTTGATAAATTACCTACGATGCTTTTAGTTTTAGCAGCTACCATAGATAAATTACCAGAGGCAAAACTGCAGTACGTCCAGAGAGCTGGGGCTCCGTGAATGGTGGACTGTTCAGGTACTTCTGGGCTTCTTCAGGGCTGATGTCAATTTCGAAGACATTTGTTGGCTGAGGCGCGCAAGCTGCCAACGCCAACTGCAAAAATAAATTAAGCATCATATTAGACTTGCTATACCAAAACTCTTTTTATTATTGATACCTATTTCTCCCACGTAAATTAAAGCTACGTTAATCGCGTATGATATAGTTTCGGAACCTTATTGATGCAAAACAGCTAAACATTCCTTCGTTACAATATTTATTACAATACTAATCCCTTGCAGGATATCTCAATTTAGTTAACTTTATTACGATTTAAATGTGATTTAAAAATGGTTGTGGTCTAATCTTTCTACCTTGAAACAATATATTATAACAATGAGGTTTAAATTCTACGCATTTTATTATTTATTTCCTAACCTTAAAAAATATTTTTAAGAGAACTGAATAGCAATGTTTAACTAAGCTAGTCAAAATTGTCATCAAAACATAAACTTCATTACACGATGGCTTATTGAATTTTATCCCTAGAACCGCGCCGTGAACCGTATCGTGTTATAAAAAGTAAACTTTATGTGAACAGGCTTAAAATAATCTCTATACCAAATTTCATTAAAATCCGTTACGTAATTTTTGCGTGAAAAAGTAACAAACGTCTACAAAACTTTGCCTTTAAAATATGAGTGGCTTCTGCCGGATACAATTGTTTATATCCTATATCAATAGTTTACGCGCAAAAAAAGATCTACATCAAAATATATTAAGCTAACTTAAACGTGAACAATACATTTTATTCCGCAAAAACATCTAAAGCCACCTGCGCATTAGCTAATTGAGACTCATCTCCTTTATTTAGAAGGTCACGACCAAAGCTATGAACCGGACCTTATTGATTGACATAAATCACTGGGCAATCTCGACTATATTAAGGCATTACGCAAACATAGACTTTTGTGTGTGTACCGGCGATTATTTCATTTATCAATATAATACCACTCCTTGCGCAGACGATTCTCTTGAAAACTACGAGTTTCCTAACAATTGCAAAGCAGTATTGCTGTTGGACACTGGGTGGAAAGACATCATCTTTTTTGATAATTTTATTTATCATATTTTTATATTTCTTTTTACATTTTCCTTGTTAATTTAATTGTCATTGTTATTTCTTATGTATTTTTAGTAGCCGTGATCTATAGTTTATCATTATATACGTATTATTTGTGTCCTCATTCTCACTAACTATCAAATGCCTTATTGTATTACAATTGTAAGAAAAATTGTGACCTTTGTCCGATAAACGCTTCTGCACTTAAAAATTACAGTTTTCTGACATTGCCAATGTATGACGAAACTTAGTGTGTGATGTGTCGATAGCAAAAGATCTCAAATTTGATGGCACTTTAAGAAAGTTCTTGTGGGGCATGACGTCATAGTTAACACTATACAACGTGGTTACACAAACTGACTTAAGATTAATAATATAATAAGTTTGAGTCCCTACCTCTCTTAAAAAAATATAAAATATAAATTCTCTAATACACATAAACAGATTTTGATTGTTATGCCAAGACAATTCTGTTTATATAATATAACACGAGCCCGAACCCGTTTTAAAGATGATTTAATAAAGAAGCCCCATTTATGTGATGTTCTAACATAGAGAGTCGTCATCGAAAAAGGTCCGTGAAGATAGCTAAGTTTTGTTGAGTATTTATTAGTAGTCTTGCCGCAACCTATAAGATGACGTTATCAAAAAAGATAATATAGACGATGATCTCCTTAACCGAATAAATCATCAGTTGTACTCGTATTTTTAAATTACCATACTAGCCTGATACAAATACGAGAAAAACGGAAATAATTCGATATATAGCCTGGAATATTTTTAATCGAGTTTTTTTTTTTATATGAAATGGAGGGCAAATGACTGCGCTCCACCTGATGGTAAGTGGAGGCGCAGTCCAAACGCGAGGACAGCTAGTGTAAAACAGTACGTATGTACTGCACTAGCCAACCTCACCTTGCCGACCTGCAAGATGCTTCTTCACGCCCCGCTTGAAGGACCCCATGTCATAGGATGGAGGGAATACATGGGCCGGGAGACAATTTGTGAGTCAATTACAAGAGACCATATTTAAGAATCCATCTCATTTTAGCTATGGAAGGTATAAAAAAACATCAAGTCAAAAAAACCTTCATTTCCTTCACGCAAAATTACTAACACGACTTTTTTCACAAATTTTCATTTTATTTATCATAGCGACAATGAAAATTACTAAAATCCAACTTAAAAATTTACAGGAAATAGTTTTATTTTTTTAAACTTTATTTTAAACTTTTTTATAGTAGTTTAATATGATAAAACATTTATTTAAAGTATTTCTGTGTGGATTTTAATGATTTTTAGTAGTGTTTAACTCAAAAGTCTGCTGCATATATTGCGTGTTATATTTTTGCTTCATAAATAATTATAAGGCTTTTGGTATGTAATATTCCCAAGGAAATTTTCATTGGATTCAAAACAAAATATACTTAACGCAATATAATAATATGGATTGAAGTCGTATTTCATTGTTGTCCGTGTTATATAAAAATATGAGCTTCCAAATATAATATTAAGAAGATTTATGTATTTCATGGAAGTAACATAAGTAAGAGCGTGAAAATACGTAGAAGTCACTTTATATGTATTTTGCTTATCATGCCATTAAGAAATTAAAAGAATTTTATTGTTTTTACTAATAATCCGAAAGAAAATGTCGTTGGATTAATTCATATATTAAAAAGGAAATATATGATACCCTCATAATACAAAAAAAACAGCTGTTATGTTTTAATGTTTGATATCTATACTGAAAGTTGGTATTTATATCAGGCTATACTGTACCCTAATCATGAAAATAAAGGAGTGAATGCCTTCTCGTCTCGAGTCTTTTATGAAACATATTAAAGAAACCTTAGAAGAAGTTTATAATGATAAAATTCAGATTGATTGTTTAATACGAGATTGCTACTATGTAAATCTACCTTATATTTTACGAGTTCCCAATAATAATATAATTATTGAATTAATGCTGCCAGTTTAGATAAATTAAATAGTTAGCTTCCAGAGTTGATAATTTAATAATTATATGAAGTGACACTGAATACTGGATGTAAATATATATTATCCACATAAAAATTAACATCACAAACGTATAAACAAGCAGACACTAGTTGTCAATGCAGTCTGACAAGGTTGAACGTTAATGCCTAGGAAAAATAACACGCAGATAATACGCGTATTAATAATTTTGTTATAAATAAAGATGCATCACTTTATATAAATTATAATCACTCTCCGCTTCTGTCATTCCCTGCGTTGGTTAGGCTTTGAGATAATATTTAACTTCTCCATAATAACTTCAAGGAATTCAGTGCGGTTGAAGAAGTTTGCTAGAATAACAAAACCGTTCGAGCGACAGTTATATAAAAAAAAGTTATACTGAAGGAAAGAAGGTCTCAAAAATAAATTGTGTTGTGGCGATATCTTTTATAGCATAATAATATCATAAGCTATATTATAAGCTTCATAATAACTTATCTTTGTGACGGCACATAAGGACTAAAATTCAAAAGTATTTCAATTTTTTCTTTTTACAATTTGTATTATTATTTTTCTCTAAAAATGCTTAATTTTCCGTCGAAGTGGCCCATTACGCTTGGGAAGCAAACTCTATGCAGGTAATTTTAGAATCTAGTTAAGCCGGTATATCTTAAAGGTCATTAAACAACGATAGACTGCCTATCTCATTGTGTCTGGCAATGAAATAGATAATAAACTGAGAAAGAGAAACTGTTTGTATTAAATTTCTTGCAAACTATAACCCTTGGCTATAAAGTGACTTACTTGATTTTTCCTATAGGGTTAGTGGATAAAAAAAACTTTTTAATTTTTGGGGTTTCTTTGTGATTAAAAAAGAATATCAATTCGCATTCTAAATGTAACAGAACTTTAAGAAATATGAGGTATTTTTTTCTTCACCACTTAGTTTCGACATAATTTGAATCTACATTCCAAATTTAACCAAAAACCGGATACTAAATAATATAATATTATATATTTTGAATAGTAACAAAATGTTTATTACTACATTGTTCTTTTCAGCACAAGTTCTTCCGAACTTAGATTTAAGAAGCAATGCCGTGACTTGACGTTAAACAAATTTATATAATAAACTAGTTTCTGCCAACGGCTTCACCCACGTGGTCATGTATTATACTGATAAATCTCTATATATTCATGAAAGCCGCAGTAAAATCCAATGTAAAGTTTAAAAGATCTGAGCGTGCGGACAACGGGAAGCGACTTTGTTTTTCAAATATCAACATATGAGTATAGTTTCGTTTAATTCAGAAAAAACTACTTAAATTACTTCTTAGTGACAAAAAATATACGTAATATAATATCGTTGGCATTATTTCACTGACCGATTCGCGACGCTTCTTAAATATCTATGAATATCATTTACATAATAGATGTAAAGTATCTTCAACCAAATAATGAAAAGGTATTATGTCCCCTGAAATGTATGTTGACAAACGGAACTCTGTGTTATCACAAAAAATAACGTTATTCGCAAATGGAATTATGAAAACAATGGAGTCACTACTTCACTTCAGTTCACTTTCCTGACTTCATGAAAAAAAATCGTGTTTTATGATATACTGGCTGCTGTAATTGTTTTTTATCAGTCCAGTAGCTTAGGAGTCTAATAAATAAATACAAACAATCAAACCTTCCCTCTTTTTGATATTAGTATAGATAAGCATTTGTGCGCAATTTCAAGTGATATCTAGATGATAAGTAGTAGTAAATAACCGGAAAATGTATCTACCTACTTGGTTATAATAGTAAAAGATTATTCACAAACTTTTTAGTTCCGGAAATCATAACTCACGTAAATCGCTCACTTTGTTTCTCTTCATAACACATATTTTTATAATTATCATATTTAATTATTTCCGCATTTTCAATGGTAATATTTGTAATGAAAATAATTTATCAGTATAGCATTGTCAATGTAAAATTAGAAGAAATTTTGAACAATAATAAG